AGAATAGGAGGGCACCCAGTGAAGCTGATGGGCAAGCGATGCTGAGCAGACAAAAGGAAATGCCACTTTACTCTAGGAGCAGTGACACTGTGGGATCCCTTGCCAGTGGAGACGGTGCCAGCCAAGAGCACAGACAGCTTTCGAAGGACCTGAGAGAGACCCAGGGAGGAGAGGCTGCTTGGTGGCTACTGGCCAGGGTGACTTGGAGGAGCCTCCACCTGCAGAGGCAGACGACCTCTGAAGCCCAGCGGTGGAAGGCGGCAGCAGGAAAGGGACTCCTCCTCCTCAGTGCCTTCCGGGGCAGCTGGTTTCGTGTGTTGGACTCAGAGGCCCCCGACTCTGATCCAGGCCGGGCTCTGCTTATGTTCTTTTTGTCCCCCCTGGCCCTACATCCTTACCCTCCAAGTGGTGCCATTTCCTCTGTCATGCTGAATGGGGTACAGCCAGCTGCAATGGCTTCCCTTTAATATATGACTGCTATAATAGCAAGCCAGCCAGAATAATGAACTTTACAGGATGGAAATTCCAGCTTCTTGTTTTGCAAACTAAACATAGTTTTTATTTGCACTCAGATTTGTAGCTGCTGCAGCTGGTGAATGATGGGAGCAGCACACAGAGAGAGAAAGGCGGAGAGACAGCACACCCGGGCATAGGATGGATTGCGTGTGAAAGCCACCCACCCACCTTGGCTTGGGGCATGTGCTGAAATGCTGTGCTTTCACTGCCTGAGCAGTAGGTGTTGCCTTCGGACACCCTTCCGATGATGTCAGGGGGTGTGGCATATGCAAATATGCTACTGAGTTATGCTAATGAGCTCCTGCACCTCTTTTTCTTTTTCTTTTTTTAATAATAATTTTATTGGTCTTCAAAAAGAAAGAAAAAGAAAGTGAGAGTATTACATTGTAACAATATCTATTCAGTTTGCTCACACTTAACATAAAAACAAGAATTACTTAAAGCTTTACTAAGTTAACAAATATCTTTCTAACAACATTGTATTTTTAATAGTTACTAATTTTCTTTACTGCCATATATCTATTTATTTTTCTAATATATATAAATTTAAAGCAAATTTAACTGATTTAGTCCTCTAATAACATAGTCAGTCTTCTACTGATCTTTCAGCTGTGAGAAGTCAATCATTCTAACAATCATATTTTTAAAAAATAATGGGATTATATGGATCACAATTAAAAAAAACAGAACATTAACAACCTGCACCTCTTTTTCTACGAAATGCCCCCTGATATTATTGAATGGGAACTGTTTGGGTAAAATGCTGACTCCTGTGTCTACCCCTGTACCCCCTCTTAGTGCTGAGAGAGCATGGGGAGGGGGGAAGATGGATGTACTCTGGTCAAGGCGGAGCAGGAAAAAGATGGCCTGGAAAGTCCGGCTCCCAAACAGATTGCCTTGGAAAGTCCCACGGCTGTCGACATCGACCATCCTTGTTCTCCATTTCCCCCACTCCCCTTTTCAAACACTTGACATGCGAATAGTCATAGCAGAGGAAGGGTTTTTTTCCTTCCAACACTTAAGCGTGACAACATTGATAGGGCTCTAGGAAAACAAAACATTTCCCATTTTTCCTGAACCAAAATCTATTTAAGTCATTTATACCCCACCTTTCTCCCAAACAGAGACCCCAAAACCGCTTACATCATTTCTCCTCTCCTCCATTTCATCCTCACAACAACTCTGTGAGGTAGGTTAAGCTGAGAGAGTGTGACTGGCCCAAAGTCACCCAGCGAGCTTCCATGGCATGAGTGGGGATTCAAACCTAGGTCTCCCAGATCCTAGTCTGACACTCTTAACCACTATACCACGTCTTGCTATTTTATGTTGCTATTTCAGCAGTTTTGCAGACCTTTGTCACCTTTTTTAAAAAAAAAAACTTTACCTGGGAATGTAGGGACATGGTCAAAAAGTAATTCACCCATCGAATCAGATTCCAGAAGATGACATGGCTTAATCTAGAGATAACTAGTGGCCCACCCTTCTCTTGAAAGCTTCTGGGACATATGTACCAAAGAAAATATTTGAAACAGAGTCCTTTTGGTGAGTCACTGACATATTGTGCATACACACATTTTAAAAAAGCTTTAAGTCTCAGCAAACTAGCACAATCCAACCTGTCATGCCTGGATAGGGAAGGATGATGACAATACTCAGCTTTCGGTCACCAAAGGTATTTACCACACAGTTACACAATGTGCTGCAAGGTTCATGCACAGTCACCACGCGCGGATGCTTCCGCTTTTCCACAGTGAATCTCCAATGGCTGCCCCTGGAAGCAAAAGCTGGGAGGCTCCTCTCCATAGCATGGAATCCGATGGATTCTCACAGAACCCTGGATGTTGCCAGTGATGCGAATACATGAGATCACTCCTCAGTTCGGATTGCAACTGACTTTCAAATTGTGAGCAGCGCCCCCCCCCCCCAGACAACCCAAAAACGTTCGCTACGAGGGAGGCTGCTTTTAGGCTGATTCTCAGGTGACAACTTCTTATTCTTTGTGGTGAACGTGATCCAGTCCCTTCTTATTCCTTGTGCTATTTTCCTAACACAGCGAACACAAGGCTTGATGGCGAAGGGCAGGGTAACAAACCCGCAGAGTTCAGTGCTGCACTGATTCAGAACTAGCTTCTAAGCATAGCAGATTAAAGTATTTGGTTTGTAGGAATATAGACAATCATGTTTGTCATCAAGGTTCGGTATCTGTTAACTCAGAGAATGGTCTCTGGATTGTGTAACACTATAAAAAAATGGTTGGTATACCCAGGTGCAAAAGGCTAACACAGGTACCTTTGAATAGCTGCCTTTCTCTACTAAGAAACTAAGTGTGGTTAAATCAGGTGGGTCAAATGAGGAACCAGCACTCCCAGCGGCTCTTTGGTCCCTTCCTTCCCTGTGACCCTCTTGGTCCTAATTCTCTTCCCTGTTGGTCCTAATTCTCTTCCCTAATTCTCTACCCTGCTTGATGGCGAAGGGCAGGGTAACAAACCCGCAGAGTTCAGTGCTGCACTGATTCAGAACTAGCTTCTAAGCATAGCAGATTAAAGTATTTGGTTTGTAGGAATATAGACAATCATGTTTGTCATCAAGGTTCGGTATCTGTTAACTCAGAGAATGGTCTCTGGATTGTGTAACACTATAAAAAAATGGTTGGTATACCCAGGTGCAAAAGGCTAACACAGGTACCTTTGAATAGCTGCCTTTCTCTACTAAGAAACTAAGTGTGGTTAAACCAGGTGGGTCAAAGGAGGAACCAGCACTCCCAGCGGCTCTTTGGTCCCTTCCTTCCCTGTGACCCTCTTGGTCCTAATTCTCTTCCCTGTGACCCTAAGTCTCTTGTGGAATGGCATGGGAGCCCTCAGCACCCACTACCCATGTGCCCTCCTCACCCATCGACTTCTCTGCATTTGTGGCTGGAATGGGAAAGGAAGGAAGGCTCTGTGTAAGACCACCAGTGACAGTGCTGAAGGAGCTCAGGACTGCGGACTTGGTTCGCCTGTCTCCCAACAACATCATAAGGTAGATCCAGCTGAGAAAGAGTGACTGGCAGCAGCAGCGGCAGCAGAAGATGAAGACGAAGATGAAGACGAAGAAGACGAAGAAAAGGAGGAGGAGGAGGAGGAGAAGGAGAAGGAGAAGGAGAAGGAGAAGGAGAAGGAGAAGGAGAAGGAGAAGGAGAAGGAGAAGGAGATTGGATTTATACCCTTCCCTTAACTACCCAAAGGTGTCTCAGAGCGGCTTACAAACTCCTTTCCCTTCCCCTCCCCACAACAGACACCCTGTGAGGTAGGCGGGGCTGAGAGAGCTCTTGACAGAAACTGCTCTTTTTTCAAGAACAGCTCTTATCAGAACTATGGCTTGCCCAAGGCCATCCAGCCAGGTGCAAGTGGAGGAGTGGGGAATCAAACTCGGTTCTCCCAGATTAGAGTCCACACACTTACCCACTACACCAAACTGACCCCCACTGTAGTGCACAGTGGGGGTCATAAGAACATAAGGAGAGCCCTGCTGGATCAGACCAATGGTCCATCTAGTCCAGCATCCTATCTCACACAGTGGCCAAGCAGTTCCTCTGGAGGGCACAGAGGCCGAGGCTTTCCCCTGATGTTGCCTCCTGGCACTGGGATCCAGAGGCTTATTGCCTATGAACCTGGAGGTTCCCTTTAGTCACCATAGCTAGTAGCCATTGATAGACCTCTCCTCCACGAATCTAATTCCTTTTTAAAGCTGCCTATCCCTGTGGCCATCAGTACACCAGATTCCACATTTTAGTCACTCTCTGTGTAAAGACTTCCTTTTGTCCATCCTGAATCTACTGCCCATCAGCTTCATTGGATGCTCTCGAGTTCCAATATTTTGGGAAAGGGAGAAAAAATTCTCTAATGCTACCTGATTTCCAACCAAATAAGATCAAAGATGGCAAGGAGCTTGGCTATGAAGGGGAATATCTTTTGGACAAAGGGGATTCTTCTGATTGTCCTTATCTTGGAGGCATGGGAACCCCGCCAGCAACACCTGCACACCCCCGCGTACTGTTGTACTGGCAATGCAACAATGATCGCATTCACTAAAATATTTCCAAAATATTGAAGGCTATTGTGGTCGTCTTTAGAAAAGATTAGTGTGAAGTGTTGTAATCCTGGGGGATTATTTGTGGGACTTTCCGCCTAATCCCAGGAGGTTCCAGAACGTATATAACCGCTGCAAATACATTTTCTGCATCAGCTCTGGAGAGAAGTGCTCTCTGTATCGTGGAAAAAGCAGGTGAGGAAGAATACTGGTTAATGTTTTACTGCTCCTTCCGTAGAACAAATTTATATCTGTTGTTTTTGTGATAATTTATAGGCTCTGGATATACAGCCTGAGCATAGATTATTAAGCATTGGGTTTGATGGGAGAGAGGGAACTTTTCATTCATGGTAACATTTAATTGGGACTCCAGGAACGTTTTTGTGCTTATTGTTTTTACAGATTGATCAAGAAGAATGAAGGCTCTCTTTGTGCTTGCCTGCCTTTTGGCCACCACTGTTCCTTTTGAGGTAGCCCTGAAGAATCCTATTCCATTTCTAAGGTGGTGGTGGAAAGCGCCGTCAAGGCACAGCTGACTTAGGGTGACCCTGTGGGCCAGTTTGGTGTAGTGGTTAAGTGTGCGGACTCTAATCTGGGAGAACCGGGTTTGATTCCCCACTCCTCCTCTTGCACCTGCTGATGTGACCTTGGGTCAGTCACAAGCACTGGCACAGCTGTTCCTGAAAGAGCAGTTTGTGTCAGAGCTCTCTCAGCCCCACCCACCTCACAGGGTGTCTGTTGTGGGGAGGGGAAGGGAAAGGAGTTTGTAAGCCGCTCTGAGACTCCCAAGTGAAGGGCGGGGTATAAATCCAATCTCTTCTCTTCTTCTTCTTCTTCTTTTCAAGGCAAGAGGCGTTCAGAGGTGTTCTGCCATTGCCTGCCTCCACGTCACGGCCCTGGTCTCCCTTGGAGGTCTCCCATCCAAATACTTGCCGGGGCCAGCCCCTGCTTAGCTTCTGAGATCTGATGAGATCGGGCTAACCTGGGCTATCCAGGTCTGGGCACAGGTCTAAGGACGTAACAGTGATTCTAATTTTTAGGATTTATATAGGAAGTCCCAAACACTTGACATGGATTATCTCAGTATTCTGACTGAGGTTAGTAAGAGGAGGTTAGTATTACTAGAACCAGTCAGGTCACACATCCTGTTGTCTTGTCCGGACATCAGTTCTGCATCCAGAACTATCTGGCCACCTCAGGAGGTGAACAGGCTCTAGACCAGTGATGGCGAACCTTTTAGAGACCGAGTGCCCAAACTGCGACCCAAAACCCACTTATTTATCACAAAGTGCCAACACGGCAATTTAACCTGAGTACTGAGGTTTTAGTTTAGAAAAAAACAACTCATACATTAACTTAAGATGATCCAAACAAAGTAAGGAAAGCAATCCCAAATGCTTTCATTTAATTAAAATTATTTGGCAGAGAATTCAACACTTTAATGATGGTCTGGGCCTGGCTGCGGTAATAGCGCCCACAGAGAAGGCTCTGAGTGCCACCTCTGGCACCTGTGCCATAGGTTCGCAACCACTGCTCTAGACTCAAGCTGCCATCACCTAACGAAGAGGACTGGAAAGAAACCTAACACTTGAGCAGGGACAGTATAAATCCATCCATTGCAGGGTTTAGGGACAAATATGTTTTTGACTGTGATCAAAACTGCGTGTTTCTTTTCCCTGTAACTTGACTTTAGTGTCAGATAACTTCCTGTCATATGCTTGCTGCTCAGTGGGTCTCACGCACAGCAGGTGTGGGGTCTGGGAAGGCTGAAGCCTTGGGTGGCCAGGTCTGGGTTGGAAAATACCTGGAGACTTTGGGGGTGGAGCCGGAAGAGGGTGGGGTTTGGGGAGGGGAGGGGCCTCAGCATGGTACAAAGCCAAAGAGTCCACCCTTCAAAGCAGCCATTTTCTCCAGGAGAATTCATCTCGTCAGCTGGAGATCAGTTGTAAAAGCAGGAGATCTCCAGGCCCCACCCAGAGGCCGGCAACCCTGTTGAAGGCCCAGCTAGTGGGTCATGTTTGGTAGGCTTGGGGGTAAAGAAATAGTGGGCTACTCTGATGATTAATGGTTTGGGAGGGTGTGGCACCGCTCCTTAGAGTGACAACCTGAACGCAATCACAGAAAGGGTGGAATGTTTTTGAAAGTGGCCGTTGAACATGACGGCAAGCGAATGCGTGGTGTTCCTCCTCTCTCCCTCCAGGCTGGTAGCAGCAGTGAAAGCAAAGAAAGGAGGTATTTCAGACGCTCCTGTCCACCATGTCCAGAGTTGCCAAACTACCCACCAAACTATCCACCATTTGGCCAACCGCCATTCATCTGGCCTTATTATCCACCAGGCCCTGGAGCACCAGCTGACCAACCACCAGCCTTCTGGCCTTTTTATCCTCCAGGACCATTCCCGATCCCTCCACCATCGGATTGATCTGCCTTCTGGTAAGCATCAGTGGAAATACCTCTGGATAAGATGGTGGTGAAGGACAGCCTTTGTTATAGCCAGGGCTATTTTGGGGCAGGAACGCACAGGAACGGAGTTCCAGCTGGCTCCCAAGTTGGCAACGCCCAGCATGAACTCATTAGCATAATAGGCCACACCCAACAGCAGAAACTCATTAGGATTGGCTACATTAGGGGTGTGTGGCCTAACATGCAAAGGAGTTCCTGCTCCAAAAAAAGCCCTGGGTTTTGACAACAAACAAGGTAAACAGAATAAGAAGCAAAAGGTGGGTGTGGCTGGAGACCACACTTCTGGTAACATGGGGGTGTGGCCTAATGGGCTAATAAGCTGTGCTTTCAGGGGTGTGGCCTAATATGCTAATGATCCTCTGCTGTTGGGTGTGGCCTATTATGCTAATGAGTTCCTGCTGGGCTTTTTCTACAAAAAGAGCCCTGGAACTTACAGCTGTGCTAAGACCAGACCAGCCATTAGGGATAGGTACCAAGAGGCATAAGAATTTATTGTAGCTACAAAGGGTGACCCCTTGCTAGTGATTCAATTGCAGCGCAGATGTAGGGAAGAATCCTCAGAGGACACTTGAGGAATGGGGAAGTGAGGAAGGGGAGAGAGCAAACCCTCTATTCCATGCAAATGCCCGGCCTGATCCAATGGGGCAAAGGAGTATAAAGGTTTGCGGGGTGGTTGTAAGGTGGAGCTGAGAAAGCATTCTGAAAGAGCAGGTCCTGAGAATGGTGGCACAGTGGCCAGGCCGTTTCTTCTAAAACCAAGTCACTGATCTGCACTTTTCTTTGTGTCACAGGACCCAGCTGAGAGGTTTTCACGACTTGTTGGCTTCCCAAGCTCTCCAAAAAGGGATTTGCTTCTCTTCACTCTTAATACCTGCTGGTTCTGATTTTCTAGCAAGTTTTCTCCCCCCCCCCCCCCCCCTTTTCTGTTTCAGCTTTGTAATCCGTTCATTTGAATAAATGCTTCCCGCACAAATCTTTCTGCATATTGGTTGTTTGTCTTTACTGTGTCCTTATGTGTGTATATTCACAGGTGAGTGCGCAAGTTTTCCTACTGTTTAACTTTGAAACGGAGGAGTGTGCTACAAGTTGAGAGCTAGTTTGGTGTAGTGGTTAATAGCAGTAGACTCTAATCTGGAGAACCGGATTTCATTCCCCACTCTTCCACATGCAGCCAGCTGGGTGACCTTGGGCCAGTCACAGTTCTCTCAGACCTTTCGCAGCCCCACCCACCTCACAGGGTGTCTGTTGTGGGGAGAGGAAGGGAAGGAGATTGTAAGCTGCTTCAAGACTCTGTTGGGTAGTGAAGGGCAGGGTATAAAACCACTTTTTCTTCTTCTTCTTCCCCCATCTTTTAAAAATGTTAAAATTAATTTGACATTTTACCTTTCACACATGTTGGATAATGTACTCTCAATGCACTGCAGCAATCATTTGCAACTGGGATTTCCCTGTTTCACACAGGAAAATCCACTTGCAAATTATTGCTGCAGTGCATACAGACTGCAGCAATTGAGGGAAAACAGCAATGTGAGGAAATAGCCATGGAGAAGAAGTGAAAAAACAGTTAATATTTCATTTCAACAAGGAAGTTGCAGCCAACCAAATTTTCCCCAATTTTTTATACTTTGCCCAGATAAACTAGAGTTACCAACTTTGGGTTGGGAGTACCTGGAGGTTTTATGGGTGGAGCCTAAGGTGGGTGGGGTTTGAGGAGGGGAGGGACCACAGCAGGGTACAATGCTGTGCAGTCCACCCTCCAAAGTGGCCACTCTCTCCAGAAGAATTGATCTTGTTCACCTGGAGATCAATTCTAATAGCGGGAGATCTCCGGGTGCCACCTGGAGTTTGGCAACCCTGAGGTGAACAGGCATTAGCCCACCCTATCTATCATCCAGTGAACCTTTCAGCAACATCTGTCAGTCTAACATACACGAACCAGTTTCAGTGACCATTTAAAAAAAACACAAACCCAACATCGGATATTATTGTAGTTCTCTTAATGGACAGTAGATGGCAGACGAGATACAAGCTCCAAACCAGCCTTCTCCTAATGCTGTACCTACTGGGAAAGCGGTGTGTGTGTGGGGGGGGAGGTTTCCTCGGGGTGAGCTTTTCCCAGTCTTTGGCACAGAGGGCACCGTGTGTACAGGCGACGGTGGAAAGGGCCTGCAGTCTTCTCCCAAGCAATGCAAGTTGTGTAATGCTGCAGCAGCCTCAGGGGCAGAGTCAACCTGGGACCGAAGTCCAATGGGGAATTTAGGTTGCCACAAATATTTCTTAGCCTGGTTGCCCCGCCACAGTCCTGGAATGAACTCTCTGCAAGTCTCATAGAAAAGATAACGACTTCCAGGCCATTTGATATGAAAACAACAGAAAACAATGATGCTGGGTCAGTCCTAGGGACTGATTCCCACCTGGGATTCTTGTAAGTATGTGGGGACAGGACTCCACAGCTTAGAGGGAGCATTGGTGGGGAGGGAGACGATTTTCACCTATTCCCACGGCAGCTGAAAATCCCCCCTGAAATGCTGCTCCTGGGGTGTTCCCAAGGAATAAGTGGGAGGCCTCCTGCAACAGGGGAGACTCAGCAAAAATCACACACACACACAGGAAAGTCTAGGTGGGATCCAAGGGAGAAGTCTGAACTGGTGTGTAGGACTGTTTCATATCTGACTTTTCACCTAGGGTGGCCAGCTCTGGGTTGGGAAATACCTGGAGATTTTTTTTTGGGGGGGGGGTACAGCCTGAGGAGGGTGGGGTTTGGGGAGGGGGGACTTCAATGGGGTATAATGCCATAGAGCCCGACTCCCAAAGTGGCCATTTGCTTCAGGTGAACTGATATCGGTCTCCTGGAGATCAATTCTCCAGCCGCCACCTGGATGTTGACAACCCTACTTCCACCCAACCCGGTCAAAGCATCCAACATATATTTTCGATAGACTTCGGTGGTGGGAAGGGCCATCAAGGCACAGCCCACTTACGGTGGCCCCTGCAGGGTTTTCAAGGCACGAGGTATGTTCAGAGGTGGTTTGCCGATGCCTGCCTCTGTGTAGAGGCCCTGGGCTTCCTAGGAGGTCTCCCATCCCAGTAATAACCAGGGCCAACCCTGCTTACCTTCACCCATCCAAGTCAAGGCAATACGATTTAGCTTACCAACATCCCAGAACTGAAGTTGAAACCTGTTTTTCTTTTTATCACTCGTGTGACTGAATGCTTATAGGAAGTATCCCAGCTTTGCTATCCAAAGATCCCTTACCCGGAGATCCCAGGATTGGAACTGGGATTTTCTCCCTGCGTGAGTGCTCCGGGCCTTTCCCCCAGCCCTGCAGCAGAGACTTTGCGTGTAAGGCCTCAGCTCTCCCAAGGAATATCTACATTTCCTGCAACTGCCCAGATCCAGCCAAGGCGGAGGCCTCTTTGGGAGAAAGCCCCACCTTCCAATCATCCCAACGCCATGTTCATGCTCCAGGCATACTTACGGCAAATGCTGCTGAAGACAGGCTTCCCAGCTTCAGGTTTGGGAACTCCTGGAGATTTGGGGATGGAGCCTGGGGGGAGGTCAGGGACCTCAGTGGGTACAGTGCCATGGAGTCCACCCTCCCAAGCATCCGTTTTCTCCAGGGGAACTAATGTCTGTAGCCTGGAGATGAGCTGGAATTCCAGGGGATCCCCAGGTCCCACCTGGGGAGCTTGGTAGAGGTGTAATGTTATAGATTCGCCCTCCAAAGCTGCCATTTCCCCCAGGGGAGCTGATCTCTGTAGTCTGAAGAACAATTGCTATTCCAGGAGAACTCCAGGCCCCGTCCAAAGGTTGGCAACCATCAGAAAAGCGCATGACACGGATTCATTGCATGCACAGGGGCTCTTGCACTAGAGTGCCTCCTGTAGACTTCTGCCCCAGCACACCCACCCACATAATAATGACAGGTTTGTCACTAAGAAAGAGTCATTATGCGAATTTTTTTTGCCAGAAGAACGAATGTGTGAACGGAAACTTAATTTAAATAGGGAATGCCCAAACTCCTTTTTCCTTGCTGAGCCACAGAGATGCCTGGGTCAGGTGACTTTCTGGGCTTCACTTTGCTAGTCTATACATTGGGGACAATGTTGATATACTTCCAAAGGTGTTTTGTGAGGTTTAGTTATAAACATTCACAGTATGGTCCGTCAAGAGGTGTGTGTGTGGGGGGGGTGCTTGTGCACATTGGCTCCTTTCTAGGTTGCCTGATTTTGTTTCTAGGGGGCTGGCGAAAGGGCAGTCCTTCTTCATAGGGGAGATGATAGTCCTCTGTTCTTTTGGGACCTCACATCTCAGTGAGTCAACCATCTTAGGACATTCACTGAATCATTAAATGCTTTTTAGACCATCTGTGATAGTGAGGTAAATGCTAACCAAGGGACTGTCACCCTTCCATGTTTAGTAACCCCTAGTTAAGCCGCCTCCTAGGTTAGTGTTATAAATTAGAAACTGATAACTAAGTTTTTTTCAGAGGGTTAAAAGGATATGATACAGCCCTCTTTCTCTTCAAAATTGGCTTGACCGAAGACAACAGAGGGACACAAGTCATGAGCTGGTAACGCTACAGAAAATTATGCCTCTGTCATAACATCTTTAGGCCGGGGGGGGGGGGCTTTGTTTATAGCCATCCTATTTGTCACTGGCAGTATTAAGCAAAGAATAAAGGCAATTTTCCCATCCAGACGTTGGGTTGATTTCTTAAGAATATGTTTGGTGTTCTGGAAGGATACGTCGTACTTTCTATCTGCCAAAAACCGCTACTGGAACAGACTATGCCGTGTCATGCTGTTTCTTTTGGGGCGTGGAATTAAAAACAAGCCTTGACTATTATCTTGGCTGTGCTGAGGCTGCCGCCAAGCACACGCTCAGGGCCAGAACCCCTCCCCAGTATGTTCATGAACATCAAAAGGACTGCTATCGGATGGGAGTGATCTTAGCAG